TCTTTCTCAATAAAAATATCTTATCGCTTTGCAAATTAATCATTCGTGGAAAAAAAAAAAAAAAGAAAAAGCGTATGTAAATATTTTCTGTTTCGAACGATTTTTGTTAAAGAAAATTTCCTCTCGTACAAAAATCAAAACGAAACGTTTTAATCTTAAACACGGTTACGTAGGTAATGCACGGAACATCCGCTCGCAGGCAAACCTGTAATTCTTGCATCCGCGAATAAAGGTATTATCGCGGGCTACGTCTACAATTTTTCTTTTCTCGTCGGATGAAAAATCAAGCTCTATTCTTTCGTCGAACCAGAAATAACTGGCATTAGTTTCTGAACACCGATGCGTATCATCTTTGTGATATTCCATTGGATAATACCTTGGGCTCAAAATATACAAAATTAGACAAATCTTCAGTTGATTCTTCATTTTTTAATAATTTTGTAAAATAAAAATTCTCGTGAATAATTCTCTCCCTTTTTTCACTTCTCTATGGAATTAAATCGTTATAAAGAGTGTTGATAAAAGTTACTCGATAAAAATTTATTACATTTTATTTTCTTTCGTTCCTTTTTTGTTTCAAAAGAGAGAAAGAATCGTAAAATTCTCTTTTTCCTAAACTCAATTGATATTCTCGACAACAATATTTTCAGCTACTTTTAAAATATTCGTCTGATTCATCACGCGCTGACCATTGTCCCTTCCCGTGCGAATATCCCGTGCATTACAAACCAATACGATATGGATGACAATTTGAAAAGGATTCGTGGAAATTTTGACAAAGGGATCTCCCGTTAATAAATCATTCTCTCGTTTGGAAACTCTTTTCGATCTTTCTTCGATCGCCAAGACGATGTAACTCGTTATCTCATAACGAAATCTCGAACGAAAAATCATGCTCGATTCACGCTTGTTCCACGGATCGGAGAGAGCAAGAGATCGCGAGAGAGACACGTCTCGACGATCGGTTTCGACATCGGGACACGCGTGCATGGTGCGCACGAGGAGAAAACCAACGAAGCGGTGTACGGTTGATCTAATAGCCGATTCAAGGACGAGTGTCGTGGCAACGAAACAACAACGAACGACAACGCGCACGATTGTTCCTTCTCGTTCGAACAACCGCGAACAATATTTATTATATTTTTTTTTTTCGAAGGATTTTTCCAAGGCTTGGTCTTTCTTTTCTTTTTCGAAAGCGTTGCTTTCCTACTGCGTGAAAAAGCGCAAAAACGTGCAAAGTTCGAACACCATCACACGTACACATACGTATTTATCATTAGTTGTTTACGTACACTGGGGATAAATCACAAATGTGGACGGATGAATACGTAACATCGTGCGAAATGAGCTTAACGTAAGCACGACGGATGCCTTTTAGATAGTATAGATCTTTGCCGACCTGCGCAACTGAATCTCGTTTCATTAGTTTCTTTCTTGAATAGTTTTTCCTTTTTTTTTTTCTTTTTCTTTTTCGTGAGAATATGTGTGCCAGCCCATATGCGTGCAACGAATTTGACAATTTATATAGTAGTTAATCGTAAAATTATTTACACACGGAGTTTCGAAGCAATTTTTCTTTCGAAATCAATCCACTTTTTTTATGTTTTTTATGATACAGTTCCATCTGGATGAAATATCTTTCGTGAGCAACCAATGGATAATAATTTGATATATTTAAAGACTTTTTTCTACTTTTTGCATTTATCATGTTTATAATTTAAAAAACGAAGGAATCTTTAAGGATTGATTTCTCTTCTTTAAAGTAAGATTTAAAAAATTGCTCTTGCGTATATATTTTATTAACGAAAAGCGTTAATAAAATAATTTAATTCTCAAAATAAATATAAAAAAATAAATCGAGATATTCATCCGTCCTAAAATGACGGTAGATTGTACGTATCACGAGAATGCTTAATAATTTAAAAAAGCGATATTAATTATCGAAAAATGGATTGAAAAATGAATCTTTATAAGATGAAATATATTTTTGATAAAATTGTATTCAAGTATATAGAGTTATAAACTTGAAATTTGTATAAATATTTAATATGTTATTCTATTATTACTTTTCTACATTCCAAAGATTAAATTAATAAAAATTAAAATTAAAACAATCGTGTGAATATCCAAGGAAAGAATTTTCAATTTTCGATTTTTGTAAAAAAAGAAAAAGAAACAAACATAGTACTCGACAAAAAGACTCTTTCGCAATAATAGAATATCATAAAATATTCGAACAATCCGAATGGATTTTATTGATTTTTAAGGAAAGAAAAATAAAAGTAATTTTTACCAGAAGACCGGCCAAAAGAACCAGGCAAATCAAGGCAACTGAGGAGACCACGATGGCCGCCACTGCGTTTCCGGAATCCGGAATCGTTTCCTGTACCAGAAGAAATCTCTGAATCTGAAAAGAGTGGGTCAGTCGGCGGAATAGGTTAACTGTATCGTAATCGTGTACATCGATTAATTATCTACTCGAGCAAAATTTTCATCAATCTTTCATTCGATGAAACACAGGTGCACAAACTACGAGTTTCTACGAGTGCAAAAATTAAATTGTCGAGTCGAAACGACTATTTTATAAACTTATATAAATATGAAAACACGCAAGATTCTTTAAATTTTTCTTCGAAGAAAAAAAGAACGAAGATGTCGTAATTTTAAATAATTAAAAATTAGTCTCGTAAGAGAATACTTCGAGGAAGGATCATAATTTGTGAGAGAGAAATACGTTACTGGTAAAAAAAAAAAAAAATAAGCGCGAAAAGGAAGAAATATACGAGAGAAGAGTACTAAGAATTCTTCGTAACGCTTCAACGAAAAGAATTACGTAGAACGAAAGGAAAGAGACCAAGATCGAGTAGCGTTACTTTCGACTTTATAATAACATAATGAAAACTGTTCGTCGAAGGGTTACAAACGAAACGCGATCGACTAACTATAACATAAACTCGACTTACTTTAATCGGGAACGTGATTCGATCACGCGACTCCTCGTACAAGCTGGGCAAAATTTTGGTCATATTCGTGTCGAACTTTCCCTTTTTATCCACCACGTAAACTAGTATCGACGTCATATCCGCCGACGAGGACGACGGAGTCGAATCCGACGATTCCTGGCACGGATTTTCATGGAGGATAATTTGCTCGTCCGATACCGATCTGCGATCAGAGACAGAACCATATATAATTCTCTCCTAAGTATATAAACACCATATATAAACAATAAACGTACTTGTTCACCGGTGGAAAGAAAAAACGTCTACTTTCACGCGTATTTTTATTTCGACACTCGTCACATCATACATCGATCCCATTCGAACCTCTTCCATTACAGTAGCGACGACAGAAACAAAGCGTCCAAAATAAAGACTCGTTTCCACCGGTGAACAATTATTAGCATTTCACCGCGCTTACTTGTTTATCCCGGACTGCAGGATCTCGGCCAGAATCGCCTTCAACTTGTCCATCTTCGGGCACACGTCGTATCTGCCACCCTCAATGACGATGCGCACCAACCACGTGATTTCTTGGCGAGGGGACAACGCGTCATCCCTCGGCGGGACGCCACGGGAGCCAGGCGGGGTCGAGGCGGAGGGAGTGCTCGGAATCGAGT